GAAATTGTGTGTTGGAGGCGCAGTGTGTTTGTTGCGTTTGGACGCTGTGAACATAGATGTGTGGGACGAACTTCAACGGTGGCAATGGCGCACAATTGTAAGTTTTTTTCCCGTTTTTTGTTGTAGTGTTATTCTGTGTTGTTTTTTGTTTTGAAAGTTGTTGAATGGTGGGTCGGTATGTTTGGTTGTTGGGGGGGCAGTTGTCTGGGTGTGTGGTCTATCATTCTGTGTGACATGAGGGGTATGTTGGTTTCGATTTGTACTCTTATTGTTTGTCGGCATGTATGTATGTGACTTGGTTGTTGGGTGTGCAACAATGTGTCGGGTTTGTGGGAAAGTCAAAAGTGTGCGGGTTTAACATGTTTGGTCCCCACATTATGTCGTCAACCTGTAATTCTGTGTTGTTTTTTGTTAAATTGGGTGTCCGTCGTGTGTGTGACATGCTCACATAAGTTTGTAATATCTATTAGCACATATATTCATTTATGTAAAAAAATGTATGGGGTTGTTTGTAGTGATGGACAATGGTGTTGTGAACGTGTGATGACGTCAACAATCTGTTAGGGGGAAGGGGTAGTGATGTTGAAAGTTATTGGTTTAGTTTTTGTTTGAATAGTTTTTTGTAGTTTTTGTTGTGTTACATTAGTTTTGTAGTATATGCTATGTGGTGGAATAGACAATCTGTTGGGGGGAAGGGGTAGTGATGTTGAAAGTTATTGGTTTAGTTTTGGTTTGAATAGTTTTTGTTGTGTTACAACACTGAGTGGGTGTTGTTTTGTGGAACAGATAATGTTGTGCCATTGAGGAGCCCGTGGGCTAGGTCGGCCGAGCGTAAACGTTTAGAGGGTCCAAGTGTGGCATCGTCGTCGAGGCTTGGTGTGAAGTTGCAGGGGCGTATTTTGTTTAAACAGTCGCAAAGAGGTGGTCAGAATATACGCTTGCCTCGGAAACCAACGCATCGTATTAATTTTCATTCGAATATGGCAGGTGTAATTAAGGTTGTTTTCGAGCTGGGGTTGAGTGAAAGACACTTCTGGCATTTGAGGCGAACACCGTTTTGGCTAATGTTTAAAGCCATTATTATAAACAAATCGGACTTCAATGAATACGAAAAATGTGATGATCTGGTGGTTAAAATTCTGAGGACGTTTAGGCTGCGTGACGACGCGTTCTATGTTGGCGGTTGTCCCATTAAAGTTTGCAAAGCTAACATTAGGTTGGTTTTCGGGCTGCAATGTGGTGTCCAGCAGTTGGACCTGACGCCAGGCACACGGCCTGCATCTAATTTCATTCAGTGACGTTGTAATGGCGTAGGGCGGATAACAGCGAGTCTGATTAAAAGTTTACTTGATGATGCGGTGAAAGGTAATTCGAAACGCGATGAGGAGGACACTGCTAAGCTGTTGTGTTTATATGTGTGCGTCAAATTATTTTTCTCAACGTCCGGGGAGACGATCAGTTGGGTGTTTGTTCGGTACATGGAGAACTTGGACACTGTCCAAAATTATGACTAGACGGCGGCAATTTTGAACATGCTGATGGGATCTGTCCGTGAATTTTGGCAGACTCCGGAGAAAGTTACGGGCTGTGTTGTTGCACTACTGGTATGTTGTTTACGTTAAATGATTTTTTTACTTTGCTGATGTTATGTGTGATGCACGTTGCCGATGTGTGAAGTTGTCTATTATTTGTCGAATATGTTGTTCGTATCACGGAGTAACTGATGTTGTCTTTGTGCATGCACAGTACTGGCTTTGTGAGCATACGAACATCGTGTGCACGACTAAACCCATAATGTTCCCCCGATTTTTGAAATGGAACATCAGTACACTGTTGGCGAAAACACGCTGCTTGGATTTGGGGGCTGTGTCACAGTTTGAGGTGCGTCAGTACGAGTTTGATGTGTGTTATGTTTGTGGGTGTGTTCAACTTGAAATTTTTTTTTGGTTTTTTTTTGTTGTACTGTGTAATTGAATTTTTTTTTTTTTTTTGTGGCAGGTGATTAGGGGCAAACTTGTGAGCCAACCGTACGAAAAGGTTATAATAGCTGGAGAAGAGTTTGATGGTGGGGAGGACGCTAATATTGATGAAGATCGAGAAGTGGGTGGAGAGTACAATAGCAATGGTACTGATGATTTTTGTAGTGACAGTGGGGCTGGAAACGATGTGAACATGGGTGTTTGTGGCAATGAAGTTGTGGGTGGTGTCGGGGTGGCTACTAAAAGGAACGTCAGGGGCAGTGGTGATTGTAGACGATTTGAAGCGGAGAGGGGTGTGGTTGCAAAAGGTAAACCCTGTGTTGCGGTGGATGCCGTAAGTTCAACGGAGTGGGATGTTGGTGGTATTGTATGTGCAACACGGGTGGAACGGATTGGTGATGGCAAGGGGGAACTGGAGACGGCGTTAGCCGAGTTATACGCACTTCGGACGGAATGTAGAGTTAAAGATGGTACGATTGCGGAGTTGCAAGCAGAGGTGGACCAGCTAAGGAGGATGAAAGAAAAACAAGCTGTAGATATAGTTGATGGTTTCACCTTAGTTTTCAAGGTGAAGGAAGATGAGATGAAAAAGGTGGTGGAGGAAAATGTTGAGCTACGGAAAACGATAGGTGTTTTAGAGGAGCAGTTAGCTGAATAAGATGTACACAACGTGACACAAGCATTCTGTAAGGTCGCTGATGGTGACACTGATATGTGGGAAGACAACGGTATTGGAAGTAACGAAGGGGTGACATTGGATAGTGTTGGACAGCAGGGAAATAATGTGTTAAAAAATGGTGAAAATTGTGGGGGATTTGATGAAATGACAGGTGGTGTGGTGGTTGAAGTTAGTGGGAATGGGTCCGATGTAGTTGAAGTTGCTGGGTGTGTAGGGTAAGGTGAGGAAGGAGCTTATGAAGCTAGATTTTGAGTACGGTGGTGCGGGTAAAATGATGGTGGGGTGTGGTAAGGTGGTGGACAGTAAGGTGGTGGATGTCCTGCGTACTGGCGTGAGAAGTGGTAACGTTGGACGGTCTATTGATGTGGATGCATGTGCAATAAGGAGCAGGGAGTGGTCTGGGTTTGATTTGAACAATCGGTTAGGGGTGTGGAAGTTGATGACTTCAGTGGAGGAAGAGAAGATCAGAAACGCGTATGACAAAGATGGGGACAGGTATGTAATGTGTGTGTGATGGAAATGAAGTTAGGTGTGTGTGTACATTTGTTTGACATGCATTTTGTGTTTTACTTGTAGCGCGGTGATGTGGGTTAGTAGTGGACATGATGTGTGTGTCTACTTTGTGGATATTAAGTCGCTTGTTCGGCCATCGTCATTTCGTGGCAATGTAAGTAACTGGTGTAAAGTTGTAATGTTATTGTTTGAATGTATATTTTGTTTAAAGTTTACCATTTTATGGAAGGTGATAGATGCGTACGCAGTCTTGTTGATGGAAGAACAAGATAGACTTGCTGTTGGAGTGGAGTTCCCGGACAAGTCATACGTTTTTAGTAGCATATGCCTTGTGAGTTTTTGAAGTTGTTTTTAAAGTTACATTGGAAAGCTTTATGGTGCATGGTTGGAACGATTAAAATCTTATAATCTAACAGGTGAAATAATGATGCAGGATATGTTAAAAAACGATAACAGTAATGCACGGGACAAATTCGTGCTGGATAACTTCGCGGCATGTAAAGATTGTCGGTACGTCCACTTCCCTATTTGTTTCCGAGCACACTGGACGTTGGTTGTTTATGACACTGAAACGGGTGTCTGGAAACATTACAACTCTATGAGGCCCCGGGTTAGACTGGAAGACAAGCATCTTAGGGAGGCAGTGTTTATGGTGAGTTAAATGTATCATTATATGTGTGGGGTTGATGTGTTTTTATGTGTCTTCGTTGTGTGTGTTTGGTAATGGTAGGGTATTGTTTTACAGAGGGATACTATTATTGAAATCCAGCGAGGCACAGTTGGCGTATTGGGCGATGACGACACAACGCAGGTTGGTTAATTGGGTGTGGAGGCAGTTACTGACTGCCCGCAGCAAAAACACGACTCGTACGTGTATTGTCCAAATTAATTTGATAATACATACATAAAATGTAATATGGTATATGGTTTGTTGGAGGAGTTAATAAGTTGTTTTTGTTTGTGTTGTCGCTCATTGCAGGGAGGACTACGCAATCATTATGTGTGCTGTGATACGGCAGTATGTACATCATGTGGACGTGAACAGATCATTGCAGGGGGGTAACTGCGTCATATTGCGCGCCAACATGGTTAAAGGTTTTGTGAACGACCATGGAAGGGGTCTGAAAGATAGTGCATGAAGTATGGAGCTGTTTGGTTTTTGTGATTGGGGTTGATTTGTCGGTTGGGTTTTCTTTTGGCAGTATGGTGGCGCTACGTTATATTCCACTTTTTTGTGGGTTTTTTTTTTTTGCACAGGGATGACGTTATTTTGTTAAGTTTGTTAACTTTTTTTGTGAATGTTTTGGTTGGTTTTAACGTTGGGTATTAAATTGTGAATAACAGTAATTACATATGGAGGTTATGCGATTATGTGTTATGTTACATTTGACCTTGTGTTTTGTTCATTTACTGCTTAGGAATTTTGTGTGTTAAACATGTTGTGTTTTGCTTAGTAACAGCTTTTGAATTTTGTATGTTGGACATATTTGTTGGACAGAAGTGGAACAGGTATCACGTAGTTGTGTGATGGTGGATGAATAGTATTGCATTCAGTATGTAAGATGAAGATATTGTGACAATGTGACTTTGTGAAACTGTTAAGGGTTAATGGTATTATTGGCGTGTGTATGGACATTACGTTTGTTGTGGCAATTCATAGTAGTGGGTAGTGGTGCAATTTGTGTGCTGTTATGTATTGTGTGTTCCCGCTGAAATACTCACCCAAAAAAAGTGTTCCCGCTGAAAGAAAATTTCATTAAAATAGGAATCAATTTAAGGGAATGGATAATTGAAAACGATGTGAAGGAGAAAGGTAAATGAGTATACCACTACATTATGAATGGGGCACTGTTATGGAACATTGTCCACAATGCGAAAAGTACTTTGAAATTGAATCCATACATGGGAAATATGTGTAACCCATGATTATTAACTGGGAAAAATAAAGTAATGCGGAAAGTACTTGGAAATTAAATGCATACATGGAGAATATGTGTAACCCATGATTATTAACTGGGAAAAGTAAAGTAATAAAAGTGTCAAATAGTGTGTTTCCACATGATTGGGTTGATCTACTATATCGGTTCTTTGCAGGTCTTTCGGTTGTGGTGTCCAATGCGATCGCACCTGTTGCAACGTATTGGTTGGACTTCCTCACCGCGTGACGGTATCCTCTTCTTCTTGGGCCTGCCAGGTGGTCGTTTGACAGCAGGTGGCAGTATGATCAAATTGTGTGTGTCGATGGGTAGTTGTTCCACTGTTAGAATTGGTGTAATCGTTGGGCTGTATGACAAGCGATATTCTGAGGCATAGAAGTAAGGCTCAATTAATGTGTACAAATCTTGTCAACTTTTCCGAGCGGCAACAATGGCATGTGAGCATGGGAACTCGTTAATCTGTCACTGGAAACACGAGCATGTGCGGCTGTCAACATCGACCATTACGGACGGGTGTGAGTGTACCTCGTACACGGTGGGGCTTGATTGGCTTACAGTCCATGACCTCCCATCATTGTATGACTTTTCTAGGAGTTTTTCCATTTTTGGGCATAACAGACCATGCCATTTTTGTGACGTTTCCCGCCTGGTTGACATTTGTCGCATTATTTGTGCCCTTATACTGTCCACCAAACGGGTTATCGGGAGGTGACGTGCCTCGAAAATTCAGTTGTTGAAGGATTCGGCGGCATTGGAGGACATCTTGCCGTACCAGTTACCTCTGTATTGCAATGTGTTTCATAATATAACAGCGGCATTAGTGTAGATAATTTAATGTAACACGACGCGGTCAATGTTTTGTACTGTTCATATACAAGTGGAACATGTAAAGGTACGGACCTGAAATAAGCATTTGCCCAATGTTGTGGGGGTAGATTTTTGAAGAAATCGATTGCAATTTTCTTATCGGAATTGGTGAACTTTTCTACCATCTCTTCAAATGCAGTAACAGTCGGTGCGTAAGCGCAGTTGTTAAACTTGGTGATCAACCCAATCCGATGGAAATTGTTCATATATTTCAGTTTGTCTGTAAGGTTCCTCTGAAGGTGTTGCATGCAAAACGCGTGGTGAGCATTTGGGAAGATAATGGGCATTGCCTCCATGAGGCCAACATGCCGATCTAATATGAATGTAAACGTTCTGTCATCACCGAGCGCATTACGAAGATGTTGCAAAAACCATGACCAGTTTGTTGCGTTTTCTGCCCCGACAATTGCAAATGCGACTGGAAACAATCCTGCGTGTGAGTATGGTGGTTAGTTGGGTGTGAAGGTGTAGGTAGTTGTGTGAAAATATTGGCAGGCATGGTTGTGTGACGTATGTGCGTTATATTTGTGTAAATGTTCAATGTACCTCGGTTTCTGTCCTTAGATGTAGCAGCAAGTAAATTCCCTTTGAACCTCCCCTTCAAGAAAGTGCCATCTAGAAAAAGTAATGGTCGGCAATGTTTGAACCCGTCAATGCATGCTTTGAATGATATGAAAAAATGTTCAAACCGGTTGTCATGCTCATCACAATCAATATTGATATAAGTACTCGGGTTGTGTTTCGTTACGGCCCCACTGTACCACCGTAGCTGATCAAAAGATGCATTTTGTGCCCCAAATAACTCGCCTCTGGCTTTTTTGACACCTAACCAAGCTACGCGGTAACTTATTTCGAGGCCGTAATTTTTTTTCAAATCAAATGCAACATCAGTAGGCCTAGTCAAAGGCTTGTCGAGGATACGATGTGCGAAGATGTCGGAGACCAAGTCTGATCCCAAACGGCAGTTGTTGACTGTACGAACAGCGACGCCCCAAATGTGTTCATTGTTCCATTTGCGAAGGTAGAAAAAACCATTAGCGTCCAAAACTCGCGCATGTACCAACCATGTGCAACCCTTTGACTCTCGCAACGAACACGCAGCGGTAATTCTAACTGTATCATTTTTGAGGTACTTGAATTCAATACTGCATTCCACCACATATTTGCAAAGTACTGTTCGAAACTCAGCCGCACCACCTTCGAAACTTTGCCCCACATGAGTTAGTCCGTTAGCCTATGATGCTGATAAGAATGTATGCTGATCATGTGGACAGTAGTTTGGCAACAAATCAATATCAGGCTTGTTGCTAATCTGGTGAACAGATCGTTTGGTTCCACGCGTGCCGAGGCTTGGTATGGTGTCCACAAAATCATCGTCTGCTGTTACACTGACATCATCGTGTGACTCGACCATAACCTCGATTAGTTGTAAACGAAAAGAGGATGCAAGGTGAACCATATTTTGCATATCTATGTCATTTTGTAATGAGATTTTTTTGTAACCCGGAGCATTGAAGAACAATCGAACATTAACCGACGTAAGACCATCAAAATTATCACACATAAAATTAATCAAATTGACAAATGCGTAAGGGGATTTCAGATTGTATGCGACATTCGTGGACCGGAAACAGCACAACAACATAATCACATCGTCCATCCCTGCATTAAAAAATAGTTACAGACGGTTTACAAGGTATGGAGTGAAAGGAAAACACAGAAAAGACCTTGTTTGTGTCACAGACAATGGTCGAATGCACATGCTTAAAACTCACCAGTAATGAAGGTCAAAACAGACGACGATGCAAACTTATGTAACAACCATCATACAAGACGAAAAATCAAACGGAGTACCTGCAGTCGTGTATCTTCACGGCGTCGCAATGCTGATATCGGTGTAACCCTGAATGTGCTCCCTCTGTGATATGACTGTGGTGACCAAATATTGGACAATACAATGTGTTACACAGTGAAGGGGATGGTAATACGGTATGAACGTGATCCCTAATTCTGTGCCAGAAGATTGGTATTAGGAAATGGACTTAATTCCTAATTCTGTGTGACCCAGATAAGGAAAGGGTACAAATGACCAAAATTTGAAAACATAAATCAAAACAGGACCCATAGGTAATTGTATTATAACAAATGGGATCTCTCAATATATTTGTCAATCGGTAGGACTAAATGGGATGTATGATGGTGATATGGGATTTTTGGATAATTTTCCCTTTTTTTTAACCTTTCGATCCATGTAGATGAATCTAAAATATAATTTTTTAAAAAAATCCCCAAAAATTGAAAGAGTCAAAATAAGCCCAAAAAATTCACTTTTTTTTTTCCACCTTTTTTTTGTCTTTTTTAAACTTAAAAAAATAAAAAAAATAAACAATCGGTTCATCTCGTCCAGTAAAATCTAGAAGCCTAAAACATTTATCATTTTTTTTTATAAAAAAAGTGCAATAAAGACAAGAATAGCAAACAAAGAAGTCACTTTGGGAAGTGGGTTGACTTTTTAGCTTTTTAACTTTTTTGGCTATTTTAGCCTGGGCTAAAAAGTTTGGTTTGTGAAGGACTTTTTGGCTTTTTGACTTTTTTGACTTTTTTGACTTTTTTTGTGAGAGAAGAGTGTAATGATTATGGATTGGATGTGATGTTTTGTTTTTTGTGGCTAAAATAGCCTATTTTGTCTTTTGTGGCTAAAATTTTTTTTTTTTTTTTTTTTTTTTTTTTGAGATTTCCTTCATTCCAGATTTTGAATTGGAGGATACTAATTGGGTCTATGAATTTATTGATGATTTGAATTATTTGTTTAATTAGGTGTATTTTATTTTTTTTAAAAAAAATAGATATAATTGATAATTATAACTTGTTTATTTTTTTACTAGAAAAATAAATAATAATTGTGTTTTAAAAAAAATCATACATTTTTTGATAACAAACATAATAAATTGAACAAATTATATTTATCAGATCAACTTAATTTTTTTTGTACACAAAATACACAAAGTACATAACAAAATAAATTATTCGAATCATTAAAACGGAGCCAGGGTAAGCCCCCACAAACCCAAACAATTCCATTCAACTCAAAATCTAGATTGAAGAGGATTTTTTTTTTTACACAAATATAAAGAGGTACAAGTTTTACTTGTATTTCTGCAATATTTCACTTACATCTTATTACAAAATCACGTACACATCACTTGTTTTTGTATATATTTTTTATTCCCATTATGCTAAAAAAAAAAGAAAAAGGAAATTGATAAACCAAGCATGTGACAAGAGGGCCATGTGGGTTTCACTGCTCAAGAGCGTTTGCATCAAATAGTTAAAAGAGACGTTTTCTCGTAACAGTAATGATTCAGACATAACAAAATAGGGTGCTGTTATAGTGTGCAATCCCTTAAGGTTGTACATCATGTGCAATCAATACAAAGGGTATAAGTGGAAGGTATAAACATAAAACAGGATAACAAATAGAAAAGCGTAAGTGTAAGGTGTAAGTTGCACACTCAAGAAAAGTCTAACAAAATATCATCTCCACAATTTCTATTTGTGATTGAATACAAACACATCATTAGTTCACATCACTGGATGATAGGGGTCTCTCCAAAAGGGGATCCCAAATATTTTTCTTTTCATAAATCTCTTTTCACTTATTTATATTTTATTTTATTTTATTATATTTTATAAATATATTTTTAAATATTTTAATTTTTTTGTTATGTGTTTGGTTACGATTTAAGTGTAGAGTTTTGAAAGTGATGTAGAGTTTCGAATTATGTGTTTGGTTATGAGTTTTAAAAATAATTTTTGAATTGAGTTTTGAGTTACGTGTTTAATTACGATTTGAGTACAGAGTTGTGTTTTGAGTTTAAAATATTAAAATTTTAAAAATTAAAAAATTTACAAAATAAAAAATTTAAATAAAAATTATATATTTAAAATAAAAAAATAAAATTTTCTTAAACATTTTTTAATATTGTAAAAAATAAATCCAAAAAATTCAAAATACAACTCAAAATTCTTTTCAAAACCCAAAACTCTTTTCAAAATTCAAAATCTATTTTCAAAACACTTTTCAAAGCTCATAACCAAACAAATTTTATCTTTTCAAAACTCAACTCATAATACCACACTTAAATCACGACTCCACATTTAAATTATAATTCCAAAACTAAACCAAATGGAGCCCTTGATTTTTTGTGTGCTAGTAAAAATTTTCTTCATGTAAATTAAAATTACAAGAGTTTCCAAGAAACCTTTAGAGGAATTCATTTTAACCAACCTCAAATATTAGTCCTCTTTGCGGGACTGCATCAAGTGCTTCCACGCATATGAAGGCAGCATCCTCCTTGCTAAGACTTCCCCTTTCTGTGCTACCCTGCCATGAAGAATTTGAAACTGCATTCCGATTGTTATGTCTACAAAGACACAAAACAACTCATTGTGCCCCTCAAAACTACAAAGTCAGTTAAGTCAGCAAAAGTTATTATTAGTAAGCAAGAACAAGAGCATGCTCAAGGAATGCATGTGTGATCTCTTGGAAATATAATATATCTTACTTTTATTCATGCATTTCAAAAAATGTCTGTTTATTTTAGCATTTTATACAATATTGGTTTTTTATGCGTAAGCATTTTAATTTTGAGAAACTAGATAAGTTCTTATTTTAAATGCAATTTGGTGATGATTCCATTTATTTCCATTCAAACTTTTCTCCAAGAGATATATTTAACTGTAGTAGGAACAAAAGCAAATGGTTCATTACCATGTGGCTTCCTAACACCTTATAAAAAATAAATAAGCATCTTTTCGCAATCAATGGACTCTGAATAGCTGCAAAACACATTACCATAACCCGTTCAGAAAGTCAACTACGAATTGATTGTCATGGTTCTCAGGTAAATATTCTTTTAATATTTTGAATGTCAAGACCAGCCTGTTGTTCATGCAGTGTAATATTCATTTCTAAACAGATTTACATCTAACTGCATCACAGGAACAATGTAAGGTTAATTTACCAAACAAAACCCGGGCAAAAATTTTCAAGTATGTGTTAGTAATTGGAAAAGAAAGGCATGCAGAAGCAATTTCCCTTCCACTTCTTTTTGTTCTAATTTACCTAAGGCAGTGATTGGATCTTGGAGTTGATGATGGATTTATGGAGGGAAAATAAAAGAGAAAGGATTTGTAGAAAAAATGTAGCCTCTATTTCATTCACAAATCCCTTCCCTCTTTCTTTCCCTCTACAAATCCCTTATTAAATTCAAGAGACAAACACATCGTAAACAATACAACAAGGGCATCCCCAATTTGCCCTATTGCAAACTAGTAAGTATATTTTCTATGCTACAAGTGCACACACACTAACAAGTGCAGAAAATCATGGGTAAGAGTGGAGAGAGTTGTGTGTAGTGGATATCAGTTACTAGTTTAGTGATTTTACTTTTTGATTTTGTGGTAACTGCTAGGCAAGACAATAATTTGCGAAAGTGTTCATACCAAGTGAGTTGTGTGCTTTATATAATAGTATAGATATAGATAAGGATATTGTTAATATTGATTAAGCACATGGTAACCAAGAATCAAAGGCTTGTACATCAGTCCATTGAATAAGGAAAATATGTACAAATGAATAGTACCTCCTTAAAACTGAAGCCTTGCTTCTCCCCACGAGAATCTTGCAATGACCCTGCTCTGACGATGGTGTAAGGAATTCCCAAAGCCATTACAATTGATTCATCTTGCTCTGCCAGTTTTCTTGCTTTGCTATTCATAAGAGCTTGAATCCCACCAGCACCTCTATAAACAGACAACTGCAATCTTATTAGACCAACATATCAAACATACAGTACTTAGATAAATGTGCTCAAACATGTATAAGAGAGGGAGAAAGTACCTGGGATAATAGAATAACATGCTGTACTCCTTTCAGGCTCTCGACTTGTGATAAGAAACCTTCCTACAGAAAAGCATGTTTTAATGCTACGTGACCGACATTCATCAATAGAAGTGCTGGGAGAGAAATAGAGAATTTGTTTGGTTTAGTTTTAGTTTTAGTTTTCTCTGTTTCTGTTTTCGTGTTTTGAAAACAAAATTAATCAAAACATTAAAAAATTAAAAAAACGTTCATTGTTCTCATTTTATTATGAAAACACTTTTTGAAAATTTAAAACAACTTTTTGAAATTTCCAAAAAATTGAGTTGTTTTAAGAAAATCAATGTGCCGATGAGGGCTTGAGGGAGAGAGGGAGAGAGAGGTGGCAGAGGATTGCACGATGATGGTTGTGGCAGTGAGGGGCTGCACAATGGTTGTACAGGGAGGGGATAGAAGGGGTTGAAGGAGAAAAAGGAGAGGAGCAATAGCACTAGAGTAGGGGTGGAGGTGGCAACTAGATACGTGGCAAGGGTGGTTGGATAGGTGATGTAAGTTAAGAGATGGGAGAAAAGAGAGAGGGAGGGAGTTGGAGGTGGATGGTAGAGACTGGGGTAGGTAGGATGCAAGATGAAGGGAAGAAGAGACGGAGAAAATGGAAAAATCATTAATGTCATTAATGGCATAAACATTTCAACCTCACTTGGGGAGGTCAATGTAATTAACCCTAAATTTAACAAGGCTAAATCCCATCAACAGAAGGGGTAAGTGGGATGATAATAATGTATTGCAATTGACTGCTATTAGCAAGGTGAAAAAGTATATACACAATAAAAGATGGAGCCTGAGGTTTGCATACATTTGGGCATATTATTACACGAACACCTCTTAGAGCCTTCTTCTGGAATGACCTGTCATTTGTATCTCCAGCCATTGGCTTTCAATACAACAGAAAAACCAATACTCAAACAAGTCATCAATGCACACCAATATATTTATATATATATATATATGAAAGACATAATGCAAAACAACTAACAAAAATGGTAAACCGTGTCAAATTAATTTCAAGAATGTCAACCTACCCACCTCAACATAAGTCCCAAAGGCTTCAACAGCAGCCCGTTTATTCTTCACCAATGCTTTAACCCGAGTTCGTTTGACAATTAACGATAATATTATCATCTGCACAAGTTAGAGATGGCCAAACTCAAATTAGTATACAATAAAGTAGCACAGTAAATGAGCTATTTAAGCAATACAACAATACACCACTCAACTGAAAATTGCAAGAATAACATGATACATAGTCTTTTTATTTGCATTTTATTTCTTCAATAGTACTGGATTGGAAAGGATTCAAAACAATTTCTCCAATCATGACATGCATCTAGAACAAAACTAACATCATTTAAATCACAAATGCAGATTTTTTTTCTTTGTCCTGTTGTTGGCCACAAAATACTTTTTTAACATGAAAGCTGGAATCTGTGGCTTAACACACCTGGCCAATCTCATTATCTCCATCGGTTACTAAAACTGCATCCCTAATTTCATCTTCTTCTGTGTCTCAAAAGCAAAGAAAAACATTCAACGAAGGACTCAAACCCATATGTTAGATATACAGTTGAAATTTATAAATTGCTATACCAGACTACCTGGAGATTCATCATCTTCTTCCAACATGGATCCATCTTTCGGGAGGAGATCAGGTGCCCCATACCATTTCCTTAACTTTGGCCCCCCTACAATGAAACCATTCATAAACCAACAAATTGAGAGTGTCACTTGTTTAGTCAATCAGTTTATGTCTAAGATGGTTCAATATATATATCCTTTACTGCGCCATTAAATTTCAAAGAACAAGGAGGAATGGGAAAATATTTTAGGCTAGAGGACTAGTGTGATATTTTGCATCATGTCTTGGATTTTCAGTATTCTATGAGGTTTTCACTGCAAGGCATCTGGAAAAAAAATAAGAAGGCACAATATAGAAGAGTGCCAACGGCTTGACTTTGTGGTTAGGCCATGCAAAAATTGACTGACACGGTGGAATACCTATCTAAAGAGAGTCTGGTTCGGTGATACAAAACGAAAACATACTAGATGTCCAGCCAAACTAGTTCCAAAAGTCACCGAGTCCATAACAAATTATCTAAATTCTTATTACAGAGGCCTGCTTATATTTTTATTTGTCAAACACTTTCCACCAAGTCATAATACTCACTACGCAACTGGAACTTTGGAAGCAGAGGGTAGAGCACAAGAGTGATTGAATCATCCCAATTACGAATACAAATTGAATTCTTATGAATTTTTTTGCATATATAGCACTGCTATCTTTATTTATACAGCCATACCCTTTGTCACTCACATGTGACAATCCTTGGTGTGTTTGCCCAACATAACTCATACTCTTTCTAGGCATTCTCTTGTTGTAACACCTATATTATGAGCCACTCCTTAACTGATGCACACATTGTTTTTCTTGCGATAACTCAGGTGAATACATTTATTTCTGCTTTCTTTGTACCATCACTTATCCATCTCAACATCAGCCTCTTAAATAGTGTTCATTTCATAATAACTAATACCCAATATGCCATAACCAAAGACCACTGAGATTGTAACTGGGGGCATATAGAATTTCCCTTAAAACTAATGCTACGTTTGGTTCACTTATATTAAAGTAAAATACCACAGAATGCTCATTCCTTGTCCTTGCTATAGAATGATCATAATTCTATTTGCAATAACATTTTTCAACACTTACCAATCAGTCCTATTAAAACTATGTTTGGTTTTGGTTTTTTGACTAAAAAAGAACAAAAGACAAAATTAGCTACATAAGCCAATAAGAGCATTGCACTTTTTCTCCCACAAAAGTCAAAAAAACCAAAAACAAAAACCAAACGAGGCTAAAAAACCAGGCTATTTTAGCTCTTTCCAAACGAAAACTAACTAGAGATCCTGGTTAATAAATTTATTCATGAAAACACTTCATAAATTTATCAATAGGCCTACTGAGTAATAAGTTTAAAAAATAGGACCTTACCCTTAAATTTTCACTATTTTTCTTAGTGAACCAATAATAGACAAACCAAACACTACCTAAAGGTAAAAAAACATGCCCCGGCGAACACTTTAGCATTTGCCTAGGACTAATAATAGTGCATAAAGAAGATCCTTTTGTCAGATGTCCAAGTAAACCACAACAACATCTAAGGAATCAAATACAAGCAATAACTAATTAAAGAGCACAAATGAAGGAAAAAAGGGGAAACCTTCAATGTAATCAAGAATTTGGTCCACGAATCTGGGTTTGTCCTTGGATGAGAAGGATGCCATAGAACGCTTTCCCGCATTGAAGTTGAAAGACCCATTACAGGTTCCGCGTGAGCTTCGAGATGAAAGGAAGTGAGAAATGTAGAGAGAGAATGTTGAAGAGAGAGAACCAGAAGCCATGGACACTCACTCACTCTTCTTCTTCTTCACAACTTTGCACTTCTTGTTTTTTTTTTTTTTTTTTTTCTTTCTTTCTTTCGTCATCCAACCGTTTCTTCCTAAACCGTGGAGGGATAACGCTGAGATGGACCATTTTTCCTCCAAAATTATCTACCTTTTCATTTCTTTTGCTTTTTTTTTGGGGTTAATCATGTTTTTGCAATTAGGATTTGATGAAGAAAATAAAATGGGGAAAAAAAATAATTCAGGAATTTTTTTTTTCTTGCTTTTTTCTTTGCTTTTTTTTTGTCTTTGTGATTTTTTTCTTTTTTAACTTTTGAAAAAGTTTTAAGTCTTTAAATTCAACTCGAGGACTTGAAAAATTATAATTTAAAAAAAAAAATCAAGAAAATATAAAAATAAGTAATCTTTTTAGCCTACTTTCATGTTTAATGATTTTCTTCTAGAAGTTTTCAAAAAATATATAATTTTTAGATTCGTCTCGACAAAATAGATCGAAAAAATAAAAATTTTTGATATAATTTTGAAAAAAAAAATACTAAAGACAAAAAATAAAAATAAAAATAGATGATTTTTTTTTTTTTTTTTTGAAAATTAGTTAAACATGTCTATCCAACTTCGTGTAGTATGAGAGGTCTAAGATAATTTTTTTTATTAGCTAAGGTCTCTTTCGAAATATTTCTCTGTGAAAATTAAAATTTCTTTGTTTTTGAGTCATAATTTCTCTAAATTTGGTGAAATTTTTCTAAGTTGAATTTTCATTATGAAAATATTGAGGAATCTTAACTATTATGAAAATAGTATATGCCTTTCATCTTATAAAATCTTAATATTAAGGATCATAAAAAAAATCTTTTTTTTTATTGCCAAAATGGGCAAAAATAAGTTGGTTGGGTAAAAAAGTAATACTGTAAAAATGAAATTGAATAGAAATTTATCAAATAACAAAAATGTTACTGAAGCATAAAAATATACTCAAAATTTTATCTCAAAAGAATGAATGGTGTAAATTTAAAGTTAATAGTATGGATGTCATATCCACAATAATTGTGGAGTGTTGATTATTATTTTTTGAATAATTTTGTAAGTTTATAGTATTATTGTTCAAATAAAAATTGTTACCCCAAAAATATATATATTTATTTAGTTTTTATTAGTACATTGAAATTAATGAATATTCATTAAACCATAATTGACATTTCTAAAAAATAATAGGTGTAATCAAATGATTATTTATTGACTTGACTGATGATTAAACTCTCAAAATATTTGTATAAAATTATTTTGAGAATTAATTATTTTAATTGATTTTTAGCAACTTTTTAACTTTTTTTTTTTAAGCATATTGTCAAAACAATCCTTAATACACCACAATTTTTTCATACATATATATGACATGTTGTGGTATTATCACTTTGGTTCAGTTATAAAAAGTTCATTTGTTCATTATTTTGGAGGGTTTTTTTTGTGTGAAATTTTTTCATATATACGTTTATAGGAAAGCTTTATGGTGTGCACTTCTTTTGGCGTATATACTGTAGGTATCTTATCATAAACTGACATAATTTTATCAAAAAAATTCATAATATTAATTAAAAAATGCATAATCTCAGTATAAATTAGCATAATAAAAAATATCATAACTAACTTACAATTTTTTATTACATGAACCATAATTTTTTTAATATTAAATTAATTTGCGACAAAATTACGTATTTTGTGACTGATACTATGAATTTTTATAATAAAATTATACCAATTTATAGGGTAAATTACACTTACTCTCTCATGAGGTTTGGGTTTAGTACATATCACCCCCCAACGTTTGAGAAATTGCACTAACCTCCTGTCGTTATAATTATTAGACAGAATGAAGATATTAAACTCATGCACTCTCTCTTTTCTTTTTTTACTTTACTTCTTCTTCTTTTTTTTTTCTCTTTCCTTTGTTTTACTTTTTTTTTAATGTAATTTCCTCTATTTGTCTACTATAAATTGTTGTCTTTTATATAAGAAATTTAGTTTGTGAAATTAGACCATTAACCACAGGGATGAGAATGTAATTTTCAGAATGTCAGGGAATAGAATATAATTGAATCAAACCTTAGAAGATGTCAGTATAATTTACCCTAATTTATAATAGGATAAAGGGTACACACCATAGGTTTTCCCACGTTTACAAGAACTCCCATTTTCATTTTAGGGCAAATTACTTGGAAATCCTATTTAAGAGTGGATAAGTCTATTTAATCCCACAACCTTTTAATACTCTCAAAAGTCCATTATGTGTTTTTCATCTTTATCCTTCTAGTGTATTTGTTTTCATCAAGCTCTTTCTCTTCATAATTTATGGCAACTGGCGACCATGCCTTACTTCTTCTCTTTCTTTTCTTAATATACAGTCACCAGTGACCGACGACTGTCATTACTTAGAGTTCACCAGCAACCACAAACTATCGACTCCTTACTTCATTCTCACTGACGATGAAAGAGATAAGTTTCAGGCGAAGAAGATGAGTAGATCTAACATCAGATCTGAATAAATTTACATGAGATCCAACTAGATCTAAATTAAAAATAGTTGTTGAAGTACAATATTCTCTCTATATCTATTTTTTCTCATTCGATTCCTCAAATTTTCTACTTTTTCTCTACTACATACTTCTATTTTCCTGTTTTAATGGAAGAAATTTGCAAGTTATTAACAAATTGTTTTTAAGTTTTAGTTACAGGCGGTGAAAATTGTAAAATTTTACAGTTTCAGTTTTGTTAGTGCTGAAATGAATCATGCTTTAAAATTGTAAAATTTTACAGTTTCATAATATGTTTTCCAGTTTGATTAATAAGGATAAATATTTAATAGAATCATATTTTGAAATTGTAACATTTTACAATTTTAAAGATTACTTTTCAATTTGATCAATATTACAGATTATTTGCTTAAACTCCAAAAATTAAAAAATAATATATACTTTTTTCTATTGTTGTTTGTTGTTGTTATTTTTTTTTTCTTTCCCATTTCACTTTATCAAAATTTTACACATTTTGCTATGGTTTTTCACTATAATTTCTCCATTTATTTATTTATTTTCTGTCAATATTCTCGACATTTCAATGAGTTTTCGATGATATTTTGGACGTTCAACGAACATTCTAGACATTCCGACGACTTGCAATGACGTTTAGAATACTCCGGCGATACTCTAATAAACTTCTAGCAGCTTCTCGGTGATATTGAATATTCCAGCGAGTCTCCGGTGACCGTTTGACAAAAATTCGGCAGTGGTGGAATGTAAGAGCGTTTTTAAAGTTATAAAAAAAGAGAATTTTTTAGTAATAATTAAAAAAATATGACTAATTAGTGCTTTGCTATGTTTTTTCACTATAATTTCTCCATTTATTTATTTATTTTCTGTCAATATTCTCGACATTTCAGTGAGTTTTCGATGATATTTTGGACGTTCAACGAACATTCTAGACATTCCGACGACTTGCAATGACGTTTAGAATACACCGGCGATACTCTAATAAACTTCTGGCAGCTGCTCGGTGATATTGAATATTCCAGCGAGTCTCCGGTGACCGTTTGACAAAAATTCGGCAGTGGTGGAATGTAAGAGCGTTTTTAAAGTTATAAAAAAAGAGAATTTTTTAGTAATAATTAAAAAAATATGACTAATTAGTGCAAACATTTTATTCTAAGGTTAAATAAATTTTAAATTTTATATATAACACTTACTGTTAAGTGCCCTTCATTTAATAAATTCAATTATACCCTCTAAAAAATTCCATTAGAAAGATGGTTATGGGCCTAGGCTAACTTCCAAAACAGAAAAGGTATTTTGCCGGCCTCATTAAAGGCGGGTTTGGTAAATTTAGGATCCGGACCACAAAAAAATCAAAACGGGTTAAAAAACTGGTGTAATGCGCACAAGGCGCACCCTATACATGAAATTTATCATTTTCTTTCAATCTGTCCAAAACGCCACCCCAAAAAACCCTAAAATCGATCAAAAGCCCATATATATAGCATTCCTCCCTTGCGCCGTCGAACAGTGTACCCCTCTTTCCTAGGGTTTCGCTGAGCTACTCTTCTGCGAACTTCAAACACTCGATTCGCTTCTCTCACTGTTTCACCCAAAAATGGCGGCGACTCAAATGAGCAAAAAACGAAAGGTCACAAAGCTCTATCTCTGTGTGTGTGTGTGTGTATTTACATATATCTGCATTTGTATGTTTGTGTTTAGATCTGATGAACTGTGTGGTTTTGTTAATCAGTTTGTTGCTGATGGAGTGTTCTTCGCTGAGCTCAACGAGGTACTCACCAGAGAGCTTGCAGAGGAAGGTTACTCCGGCGTTGAAGTCAGGGTTACGCCGATGCGTACTGAGATCATCATAAGAGCTACTCGTACTCAGAACGTTCTCGGTAAATTCATGATTATGTATGCTTATATGTGAATTTTACACTGCAAGCTGTGAAGGAGCAGGAATGAATGTGGAACTGTTTCGATTGATTGATTGTACTCTGAAAATTTGATGCCAGTTTTCGTTTTAAATTGAGATTTTGTTCCCTAGGATAATGATCTTTACAATAAGAAGAGATTTTTTTTTGTTTTTTGTTTTTTTTTTATGCAAATGTGTATTTTCGCTTGATAGATTTATCTCTCTAGGACAAGAAAAAAAAATTTGTTTTTATTGTTTGCTCAAACCAGCATTTTCATCTGGACATGCGATTATGTGTGAGTGTGAGATGAGAAAATTATCCCTGGCAAAGTAATGAAGCCTTTGGTATTACAGGTTGAATCAAAATATAGACAATATGACTGAAATTGAACTCATTCTCAACTAGTTTGTTTGGAAACAGACCAGGAATGCTAAGGTTTATGTTCAACCTTCCTGCATGTGAGGAAAATTATAACTCACTGTCTTAATATTTTTTTCTTTTGTCCTTTTCCCAAAATTTCCCAATAAGAATGGGTATGATCGGATTGATGATACTTGTTTTCTTTCATTGAATATTAGTACTGGGTTTAAACAGATTTCCATGACATACTATGACTGTTTAAACTGACGGGTGATAGGGATGTGATTTGGTGGATTTTGTGGTGTTATAATATGCACTAAACAGTCTGGTTTTTGAATGGTTTTGCTCAGGTGAGAGGGGAAGAAGAATTCGGGAGCTGACATCTGTTGTCCAGAAACGCTTCAAGTTTCCAGATGGTGGTGTTGAGCTTTATGCTGAGAGGGTTAACAACAGGGGTCTATGTGCTATTGCTCAGGCTGAGTCTCTGCGTTATAAGCTCCTTGGGGGCCTTGCTGTCCGCAGGTTTGTCTTAGCTTGAATTGGTCTCCAATCTTTTCAAATGTAATTAGATAACAAATCAATTTTTTTATGCATTTATGCCTCCTTGGTTGTCTGTCTGTCTGTTGTAAATATGTAAAAGATGATTCACACTTTTTCCATCCCTTTTGCACATGTAACACCAATCAATAATCACGTTTCGCTTCTTCCTAAAATTGTATGTGGTGATAATGATCTCATGAGCAGCAGTCATGCAAAAAAACTACATGACCCATTGTCGTATGGCTGCCAACACATGATCGTAGACCTCTCAAATAATTTCATTGTGATATAGCTAGGAAAGACATCCTTAGCAGCATTGATTATAGTCCTTTCTTTCCAAATAAATGTTGGTTGAAGAGGTTCCTCATCAATGCTTAAATTAAATAGTTTTTAGAGTTTGTCAGGCTTCTTGAATTGCTTTTGTTTCCTGGAGTTTGGAAAATACTCTTACATAGTTATATCAAAATGTTTATCAGTCAATCAAGTTTTGATTGATTTATTTGTCAACACTACTCTAACCCATTGCACACATTCTTGTAAATGATGTGGTGAGATAATTTAAATTTGTTGGCAAGCAAAATCTCAGGAGTTAAGTTTCTATAAACAAAGTCAAAAAAGGTTAAGCTAACAAGATGAATCTCAAGTATGATCCACCACCAGAGACTAAAAGTTTTGCAATTTTCAGTTTGGATTTCTATGCTTATTTTAAACATCAAAACTGCTGTGTTGTTCTCTGACATTACCCATTGTGAGGACCCAATGCCTTATGGCTGGCAACACATGCTTGTAGACCACTCATATAACTCCAATGTGCCATATTATCTAGGAAGCAAGCATTGATTATACTTCCCTCTTTCCCATTGACTGTGGGCTAAAGAGGTTCCTCATCAATGCTTAAATTAAATAGTTTTGGAGTTAGTCTGGCTTCTTGAACTGCTTTTATTTCTTGGAGTTTAGAAAATACTCATACATGACTTATATCAAAGTGTTTATCAGCCAATCTAGTTTTGATTGATTTATTTGTGAACACTATTTTAGGCTCACGGCACACATTTGTTTGTAAATGACGATCAATGTTTTTGTCTTTTTAGGATGTCATATTGGTACTTTGTTGTGTTCCCGTAACGATCATATGACTGTATGCTTATAACAATATGATGGTCCTATGTAAAATATTTTTCGAACTTGAAGGCATCATTGTCTATCTTGCTTAGATTAGTTATTTGGGAAAGTCACTGACCCCAAACCAAAGTAACCCCTAACCCTGAGCAATCATGGTAAAACTTGGTTGACAGATAAAGAAAATGTCAGAATGGAATTATATAGGAGTAGGGCTGCAAACGGACCGAGCCGAGCCAAGCTTTGCTGAGCTCGAGCTCGGCTCGTTTACTTATCAAGCTCGTTTATTGAGCTCGAGCTCGGCTCGATAAGGAACTGGGCTCGAGCTCGGCTCGGCTCGATAAATTTTTTTAATATTATATAAATATTTAAATAAAAAATATTATTTATATTATTTAATATATAAAAAATGTATTTATATTATTATTATATATATATATTTATATATTATTTAATATATAAATAATATATTTATTATATAATTTAAATAAAGATAAACGAGCCGAGCTTATGTGAGCTCGAGCTCAGCTCGTTTACTAAACAAGAGCTTGAGCTCGGCTCGTTTACTAAATGAACCGAGCTGAGCCGAGCCGAGCCTGTTCATGAACAGCTTGGTTCATTTGCAGCCCTATATAGGAGGCTTTGATTCCTTTTTTTTTTTGTTTTTTGTGTGGTTATTTGACTTGTTCTATTATTATACAATTTTCTTCCCTGAAATTATCTACTGGAGTTTTGGTTTGTACAACTTTTATTGACTCACCTATGCTATCTTTTCTTGTTTTAGGGCTTGCTATGGTGTCCTACGATTTGTTATGGAGAGTGGTGCAAAGGGGTGTGAGGTATCTACAAAATCTGTTTCCTGCACTTGACATGTAAATAATGATTGTGCTTAATTCATATTATTATGCAAAAGGTAATCGTTAGTGGAAAGCTGAGGGCACAGCGTGCCAAGGCAATGAAGTTTAAGGATGGATATATGATATCCTCTGGTCAGCCTGTTAATGAATACATTGATTCTGCTGTGAGACATGTGCTTCTTAGACAGGTTAGTTTATTTACCCATTTATGCTTCATTTTCCCATTGCTCCCATTGTTTGTATCTGGGCTTATTTTTGTGTTCTAGGATTAATAAATGGTTGCTGGCTGTGATTGACGTTGCCTTTTCCACTCTTTCAAATTGCTGTCTGCTTTTATTTACCTATTTACTTGGTTGTTATAATTATTATTTGGTGGGATAAGCTATAGACACGGTTCAATCTCCTAATGGGACTTGAACAAGACCATGGTAACACCTACATGCATTACCCACAAAGCCCACCTTCAATTTTATTATTTTTGTTATCCTTTGATGTTCCATTCCCTTGTCGGAGTATACGACGAACTGCTCATATGCTTTTAGCCTAAATCACTCTATTGAAATTTGACATTTCTGACCTGCATCTAGCTGGAAGTGAATTCATGGCCATGTATCTTTTAATTCCTCCAAATTTTTAGCAGGCAAGTGGAAATGTTATCAAGACTGGTTTCCAAAATTTTATGCTTTTCATTAATAGATGCACACTATCAATGATGGATTTCAAGAAAGCTTTCGACATACATCATTGATGAACATTGGCCTGCTGTCTTCAATTTACTTTATTGGTTTATTTATGGCCCAAATTGAATGATGCAGGGTGTTCTTGGAATCAAAGTCAAAATCATGCTTGGGTGGGATCCAAAGGGCAAGCAGGGACCAATGACACCCCTTCCTGATCTTGTGACGATCCACACCCCCAAGGAGGAAGAGGAGCAGCCCTTCAGGTCATCGCTGCCAGTTGCTGATATTGAGATTGCTGATGCTTAAAATACAATAGGAGCAAGACGAGATATTTCAATATTTGCAGTTGCAAGATAGTCCGACTTCTGTTGGTATCAGGATTTCATTGTGCACTCTTACAATTTTTTGTATCTATTTATTTGCCCCTGTTCTTTGGATTTTCATCCTTTTGAAAGGATGAGAAGTGTTTTTGTTGACTGCTTTTTGTTTTTTGTAAGTTCAGAGCTACTTCCATAAATACTCTAAAAAAGGTTTTGCAATGGATTGTTTTGGTTATTGGTGCTATTTGGTGTAGCTGTTAAAACAGATTATAGATTATAGTTTAACATATTATAGATTATGACTTTAATCAGAAGTTGCTAATCTGTGTGGTATAACTGTTGGATTATAGATTTAAGTTGCTGAGTAGTGTTTGTTAAATAAGTTGTGAAGTAATTTTTTCAATTAATTTTTAATTTTTATTATTCACTATCTGTCTACATTTTTCATAAAAAATAATAATAATATTTTATGATTCATTTGGGTCTTTTTTTTATTTTTAAAAAAATAAAAAATAAAAAAATTTAAGAGTATAACTGTGAATTAATATGGTGAGCAGTTTTTTAGAATTAGTTTTTTTGAATTAAAATAAATTGTTAAAATTAGAAGTTATTTGAAATAAGTTTAACTAAACAGTTTAAAATAATTTTTTAAAAATCAGAAGCCATAAATTGGTTCAAAAAAATCTTACCAAACACCCACATTGTTGCCTACTCTGCCCCCATATTTCAATATTTGTATTTGCAATCTTTTTCTAATGATGGAAGTCTGGTTGTATCCAATTTTTATGTCTTTTTTCTTTTTATTATATATTTTGATTGCCTTGAATTTTTTTTACTGTTATTGCACATTTATATATTCCACCAAATAAACCCAATTAGCAGACACCATGATTACGGAAACGGGATGTGATAACCCTGTTTTGCTCATAAAATTCAGCTGCATTATTTTCTACTTTTTTTCCCTTTAGAAGAAAATGTAAACTCTAGACTTGCTGAAACATTCAAAACTGTAATGCAGCAAAGCGAGTTTTGTCCCCTAGTAAATTTTACAAGGTGATAGTTATTCTCTACTAAAAAAGTGGCTAATGAAAAGTGATAGTGAACCAAGGGGTTGTAGCCTAAGTGGCTAACCCTTTGGTTGTTTGGATGAAGACTCACTCAGTGGGAAGGTTTTACTTTGTAAATGATTTTTTCTCAAATTTGAAACAGATTGGACAGTGTCTTAGGTAAGGGAACTAAAATTGTATTAAGATCTGTGAGGGCTTTACTGCTGGTATTTGGGAGGGCTGAGGTTTCAGCTTGGCTGTTAGCTGTTTCCTTTTGGACTGGCTGTTTTCTACTTCATTTTGCTTTCGGGCATGCATGTGATTTGTCTTGCATTTGGGTGCCAACAACATAGTTGCGTTTCAATGCTTTGACAAATTTTCTCTCCCCAAGCTCTTTGTTATGCTTTTGGCCTCATCTGTATCTTTTTATTGGAATAAAAAATCTCCTTTTTTGGTTTTAAAAAAAATAATAGTGGCTAATCTTTTGACTACCAAATCTCTCTTTAGGTTCCACTTTAAGAAGTACGGATACGAACGCGAACATGAATGCGGACATGGATATAGATGCAGATACGGGTTATGATGATTTCAAAAAAATGAGGACACAAACATGGCGGGAATACGACAATAATGTATTTTTTATATATATATTTTTTCATTTGTTAGATTAATATTACATCAAAAAATAATCAAAATTAACAAAAATTAACTCTAATTCTATATTCTTTTAAAAAAACTTATAAATTAGCACTTTCCATTTATTTCTATTAAGTATTTAAATCTAAAAAAATAATAAATATTTAACGTCCAAACATTCATCAAAAGTACTAAAAAAAATGGGAGAAGATAAGTTGGCATGTTCCTGACATGTTCCGGATGTGTTTCCGAAATGTTCTTTGAAAATAAATTAATTAAATAAAAGGGATACATATACTACACTAGTGTAGAGAATTCTAAAATATAGTAGGAGGGGCTGTTGTCCTAGACATTTTTATGGAATGTTCTAGAGAAATTTTGTAACCCTTGAATCAAAGAAATCCTAGTCATCTATTGAAAAGGTGAATGGCTATATAAGGGGAAATGCCTCATTTGTAACCAAGAGGAGAACTCTAGAGTGAGAACTAGAGTATCAAGAGTGACGACTTGAGAGGGTGAGAGCCTTGCGGAGCTTTGTACATTACTATGGTTGTATAGTGAATATGTTTTTCCACCTATACCTGGTGTGTTTTTCCACCTATACCTGGTGTGTAAGTTAGCGTGGTCAAGTGAGCAAGGCTTTGGAAAAACCAAGGTTGTCCCTTATTTGGTTCCTACATTTTGTCTTTCATTATTGTTAAAACACAAATCCATTAATTCCTAGGTTTGGCTCCATTAAACCCCGTGTTGACTCTTGTATTTTGTCCTTCATTATTGTTAAACATAGGGCCATCAGTTTCTAAATTGACTCTATTAATTAGGGTTGGGTATAAGATTATTTGAACCGTTTAACCCGTCTAATCTGAATTGATTCTCATACAAATGAGCGGTTTTGCTGATACAATACGGGTGGATACGATTTGAAATATGTCATTATTGCGGGTTGTGGATTTTACTCGCACCTGCAAGAACCCACTTGTAGTTAGACTTTTTTTTTTAAATTTTTTTTTTTTAAAACTTGAACCGTTGATTTCATTCATTCAATCCTAGATATTTTTGCCTAACAAACATACGCATGGAATTGGAATTTTTAAAAGTTTGATGTGATTCGAAATAGATTGCGAGTTTGAAAATATTTTTATTTTATTTAATAGGTTTGAATTAGATGAAGTTTGACAATAATTTATTATAATTTTATTATTACATTTTGGATGAATGTAAAAGTTAATAAAGAATTACTTTTAGATATGTTTAGGATTTGAATGATTTTACTTTAATTGTATTGTTTGGGTAGTGAATGATTTTGATGATTTAATTTAGAATTTGGAAACATGTGCTTGTGTTAATTTATTATTTTGTTTAAAAATTTAGGATTTTAAATGATTTGTTTGTATTAGGAATTGATTTTGTTGTATTTTTAATTTTATAAGTTTTAATTTATTAATTATTAATGTTAAGCATTTTAGCAAATGGGGGCAAAAGGCCCAAAATAAATATTTATAAGACGGAAAAAAGAGCTCAAAAATAAATTTTTAAAGAAAAAAGTCAAATCTGCAAACTTTTCGCACATCTGCAAACTCTATCCGCACAAACTACAATTCATATTGGGGACGGTTGCGGATTTAATTTTTTTTTAAACCGCACATATACGGGCAAATTTAAAATACAAACCGAACTGTGAGCACCCTTTCTATTAATCCCTGTATTGGCTACTTGATTGGCTCCATCAATTTCTTGGTCTGCCACATTCACTCCATTTTTTCAGCCTCTGTTTTTTTTTTTTGGGTCTTACAGGTGCGTATATCACACGTTCCTCATTGTGCAAATGTTCTTCATATGACTTCAATAGCTGCCACCTCAGAGGGGGTCATGGGGGTTGGTTTTGAAGGGGGTCCGTATCGGAGCTGTTTACTTTAATTGTATTGTTTGGGTAGTGAATGATTTTGATGATTTAATTTAGAATTTTGAAACATGTGCTTGTGTTAATTTATTATTTTGTTTAAAAATTTAGGATTTTAAATGATTTGTTTGTATTAGGAATTGATTTTGTTGTATTTTTAATTTTATAAGTTTTAATTTATTAATTATTAATGTTAAGCATTTTAGCAAATGGGGGCAAAAGGCCCAAAATAAATATTTATAAGACGGAAAAAAGAGCTCAAAAATAAATTTTTAAAGAAAAAAGTCAAATCTGCAAACTTTCCGCACATCTGCAAACTCTATCCGCACAAACTACAATTCATATTGGGGACGGTTGCGGATTTAATTTTTTTTCAAACCGCACATATACGGGCAAATTTAAAATACAAACCGAACTGTGAGCACCCTTTCTATTAATCCCTGTATTGGCTACTTGATTGGCTCCATCAATTTCTTGGTCTGCCACATTCACTCCATTGGGCAAATCCACACTACACAATCAGAAGATACTCACAATCTAAGCTAAGAAGGGAATCGAAGATGGGTTGATGTGGCAATTCTTCTTGTTAGAACTCTGAATCCCTCTGCAACGTTTCCTACGAAGATTCTTTCAAGTGCTTGAGGCTATAATATATTTCTGGCGACAAAGAACGCAAAATCTTTTCTTGCACTGATGTGAGGCGGTGCATTTCAATTCAAATGTAGGTGGCGAACTTCCAATCAACTAGCTCAACCTAGCAGCCTAAGCTAATAAACTACCGAGAACATGAGAACAATTGCCCCAAACATTGTGCTAAAATAATATTATTTTTTTTTGTAAATTTTTTATTTATAAAAAAAGTATAATGTCAACAAAAACAACTAAATGAGGTAGATGGGTTTGATAGAATGAGTGAGTATCCGGTCTAATAATTCTTAAAATGTTATGTAGGTCACGGATATATCGGATCATTTGCAAAATCCGGCCAATCACATTAAATTAAATTTTCAATAAAATATTGATATATTTAACATGTATTATTTATTTTTTATATTTATTTGTTAAAGTAATAAAAACAAACTTTTTGAAAATAAGCTCAAACATTAAAAAAAAAAAAGAAAAAAAGAAGAGATATTTAGACAAAGACCCTCTAACTAATATCAAATGTCACTTTGTCCTGTTGAACTAAAAAAAACACACAATTATACCCATTTTATTATCAAAATATATCACATACCACCCACTCCTTCCTCTAACTATGAGTATTATGGGATTGAAGGTCACGCATTATGATTTTTGTTATTTTATGACTAAAGTACCTTTTAGCAGTAGGTTAATTACACCAGAAATTTTGTAAACCATTATAAAGTATCACTTTACCTTTTAACCTATCAAGAAATATTATTCTATCCCTAAATTATAAAAATGTGTAATTAGACACTTCAACTATAAAAAATGTCACACATTTTTTGACGCTGTTAACGGAAGCAATAACATGACCAAATTGTTTCATTTTTTATATCCCACACATCCATTCTCTTTTTAAAGTGTGTGATAAACCAATGTTTTTTAAAATGAATTTTTGATGATTATTTTTGGAAATGGGCAGAGAGGTGAGAGGATAGGAGTAGAGTTTCTAATTGATATTTTTAAATTTTTTTT